TTAGCTCATCACACTCACACTTGGCTTGACCAACTTCGCCCCGAAGGCATTCCAGGTCCTCTATCTTTTTCTGCAACTGAAGTATCAAAACACTAATCTCAGAGGATAAAAGAAGAAACATGCACCCCCTCGGAACAAAAATTACATGTTCCTCGAGATAGCTTTCGTAGTTCAGACTTCGACTCGCCTCATACCGCAAGTATACCAACACATCTTCCCTTTTATTGTAAAGCCTGAGGGATTTCTCCCCATCCACGGCTTTTTGCAACCTGGCCTCACGACGGAGCAGCTCAAACTTGAGCTTGTCGAAAGCCTACGGAGAAGGAACTCAATGAGAAGGTAAAATTGCAAGAACTAAAAATCCAATACAGTTGACCAAAACTCACCACTGAGTAAAGCCGCTGAGCCTCGTCAAAGGTTGAACGCACATCTACTGGCCTGGACCCATCGGCCCCGGTAGAACCACACTCGATTAGAACACGGCCTCTCGATACCCCACTCAATGTAGGCGGCCCATGGCCGCAGACATCCCTCGAAGTACCTTCGACGGGAGAAGAAGACGGCGGCAAAGGAGGGACCTTTTCTCTAAGGCCAGGAATCTTGGGTGTTGCAGGCTCAGCTGATGCATCTTCTTTGAGCCTCCGGGCTAGACTTGTCTCCCTATGAGCACTTTCGCCCTGCAAAGGTTATTTTCGTTTGTTACTATTCCTCGATCTCGAAGCTGACGACCATTCTCCCTCTCTGAGAGGGAACAATCTTATCTTTGAAAATTCCCCAATGCCTACGATGACGGGGTCAGTACGCATAAAAAGAAAATGCCTTTCAAAAGAAAGCAAATCACATAGCACGTACCGTGGTGTTTTGCCTCCCACCAACCCTTGGACAGGTCTCGCCACTTGCGCTCATCATAAGTTGAGCGAGTGGCCAGCTTCCAAGCCCAATCCGTTAGGTCAGGGACCTCGTATAGCATCCACGGAATTGCTGCAGAAAGGGAAAGAAAAGCGCATTTACGGAAACTGCCTGCACCATAAGCAAAACAATGAAAACACAAGTGTACCACTTACGTGTAGAATTCCATTCCTCAGGAAATGGCAGGAACTCCACAAGGATAATGTCAACAGTTCGTACTCAGATGAATCGGCTCATCCATCCCCGGTCCCATCTTCTTCATCATCGACAACGACAGGCCTGGTAGATCGGCACCGCAAGGTTAGAAGGCCTCGGTAGTGAAAGGGCCGGTATAGCCTNAGAACACAATTTTCATCATAACTCCGAAACCACTAATAGTTTAACGCTTCATCGTATAAAAACCTTTCACTTAACTCACTTCAGGAGAACCATAGTAACACACAGGTAAATTCTCATAACCTTAGAATATGCAAATCTCTAAGTAGTGGTCTGAGCCACCATAGCCCTTTCGAGATTCGCCTACACATGACATGCCATAACAGTGGAATATTTCTGAATAACATCAATTACGGCAGTCGACAAACCTCACACGTGCCATCACAATTCACTTGCATAACTTGATCACGTTGAAGGAACTTATCACTACCACCAATATGCCAATTCAACTATGGCTAACCAATCTATCTTCTTCCAAATTAATTCTTGACCGCCTTAGAAATAATAATAACTCCATTCGACACATAACACACTCCATCCGCACTCATCCCGAGTGACCTTGAATCACGAGACCATGCTGTCTCAAATCCCACGAACCATTACGTACCTCCCAAATGCTACACTGCAAGTCAACGTTATAGAACATTCTGTGCCTCTTCTCATAAGCTGCTACAAAGCTTGATTCTTAGCCGTACCTATAGGCTCGCAATCATTAGGCACCACGCTTTGCCCCTTTGAATTTCAGGACCGTTTTTGCGAGCCACGGCTCTGACTTTGATACGCTCAAATTACACTTTAATAAATAGTGTAAGGCGGTCGGTGTCAAATATAATAACCGAACAAGGTTGGGGTCGAATCCCATAGGGAATAGGTGTGAAAAGCTACTCGATTAGTGTGTCACTCGACTTAAGTCGTAATTCTATCCGGTTAATTGTAACAAGAGTATGGTGTAATTGTGATTTGAAGAAATAACTAATGTTGAGATTTAGAATGTAATTAATTGGATTAAAGTAACCAAGGTTGTGTCCTCTTCAATGAAATATAATGCTACCGGTGTTAATATGATATATTTCTAATGGAAAGTCCTTTTGATATGCAAATGATTTCTAAATGACTACCCAATATTTTTCAATAGTTGGGTAGTATTTACTCTTTATAATTTTTCCAAATATAAAAGAGTTGCAATTAAGAACAATCAATATATGCCAAATAAAACCCACTTATTCCTAAGCGATTCTATTAAACAAGGGTTAACGCCTTGAGTCTTTGATATTTACTTCTACCAAATTCTAACCCACTTTCCCAAGCAAAGTAAGAATTTAATGGCATTTGTTAATGTTTGCAACCACCAACAATAAATGAAGAATGAGAAGTAAATAAACATCAACCAACCATTATATATATATTCAATGGTAAACACCCATTAACATTACACCCATTTAGGGTCCACAACCTTAGTATTTAAAGTTAGCTACTCATACTAAAATACAAAATGAAGAGAATATTTAATGCCATAAAGCTTACAAAGTGAAAGATTCTTCAACCAAAAGCTTCCAAAAGTGAAGAATATTAAAGCCTTGTATTGTAGCTCCCAAAATCAGACAAGATGCCCCCACAAAACCCCAATAAATCTATTTATAGTGGGCCAAAATTCGGGGCAAAATCTGGACAAAAATACCCTTTCCGGTTAAATATGCGACCGCATATCTGTCGCATAACAGACATGCGGTCCGCATTCTTGACATGGCCATCGCATAGTTCAACCCTAGTTTCCAGGCCTTCATCGCATTCATGGTTTGCGGTCCGCATTGTAGAAATGCGATCGCATTTCGCGTCGCATTTTCTACCTTCAGCAACCTTCAAGTTGAGTTTGCGGTCCATTCTGCGGCTCGCATACAGGTTATGCGATCGCAGACTGGACCGCATTTCTTGCGTTGGATTTTGCCCAGAACACTGTTGTGGTTTGCGATTCAAGTGCACATTCTGCGGCTCGCATGCTGGATTTGCGATCGCATATCCACATTTGCGATGCCTTTTTGCTCTTTTCTTGTCTTTTTGTGGTTGTTTTGAATTCATTTCCATGCTCTTAAGTCCTTAAACCTCATATACTGCAAAAACACTAAAATTACATAAGTATAAAAGATAATTGCATCTAAAACAAGCTAAAATCTAAGCAATTTGTATCAAATGTGCCGAAATTCTCCGGCACATCAACACCCCCAACTTAAACTCTTGCTTGTCCTCAAGCAACTAAGACAACACTATCCTATTCTAGACTCCATCTACAAGATATGAAACAATAGTGACCGTGGACGGTGTTTGTTGTTAGTATTACAAGCATGCATTTTCGATTGCTTTACCCTTCCTGAACCATCAATATTTACAAAGACACTAATCAACTTGTGAAACTTTGAGCCTCAAACAATGTGACAAAATGTTACCCTCAGCTGAGTGCATTTGCATTTGACTCAAAAACCCAACTTCTGTTCAACCTCACAATTCATGTGCCCTCACTAGAAAGAAAGTCCCAAAATCACAATATTTACAGTGACAATAACAAGGGACAAATTTTTAAATACACTCACTCTCGAAAAGAGTTTCAAGTGTTACAACATACCATACCATAGGCTTGCCCTTATTTTAATTCATCGCTTTATTTTAAGAACGCTCGGTTGGAGATCCCCTAAGGACTTTTTAGGCTTGTAATGTAGGTTTAGGGAAGGGAATAAGCATTTGGGTACAAGTGACTTCACCCTCCTTGAACACTAATCACATTCTTCTTTCTTGTTGATCTTTGCTTCTTTCCAAACCACATAGCCTCATTGGCATCTAGTTACCAACATAGAACCACCTTAAATACCTCTCAGATTTTCTTCAAGGCTCCATCTTTATATACATGCAAATATTTCTCTTTTTTTTTTTTTTATATATTTTTGTTTTGGATCTTGAATGATTTACTATGAGCACTTTGAGGTATATATTCCTACACTCAATGTACAACCTTACCAATTTCCACATTAACACCACACCCCCAACTTAGGCTTTCAGCCTCATTCTCAATGTTCAAGGAGGGACGGGTTCAAAAGAGGAAATTATTTTACAAAAGGGGAAAGGTTTGTAATGAGGTGGCCAAAGAAAAGGTTAAAGGCTCAAATAGGGTACTAGTGATATCATTTATGCAATGGTCGGCTTGAAAGGCTAACTGGTTTTCCAAAAGTCACAAAGACTGCCTAAGGTCATTTCTCCAACCAAACGTAATTATTATAAGCATCGGAAAACCAACCGGGCAAGTTCTAGATGGCAGAAGTAAACACAAGAATTATTTACACAAAGAACTCACACAGATGGCAGACGAACTGTTTGGCTTACATAGTTTGAATCCCTCGAGTCAACACTTGGCAACTCAAGGCTTTCATCATATATACATGTATAACTCTAGGTAGACATAGAGTTACAGAGCGAGCCTCAAGTTCACACAGTTGATGTCTCTTTTATATATATATATTAATGGAAGGGTATATACTATATACAGACACACATGCTTGAAACTAAACAAGTACACCAAACCGGTCAACATGCTTCATTCTACTATCTTGGTTCTACTATTACACCCTTGGAAAAGAAACCGGCGAAGAAAAACCAAGGGGAATTCATTGCTAATTACTAAAGATGGACAACTATCTACACAAGGATAACATAACTTATGTACGAAAATGACAAAACATCAATATATACAGAATACAGATGAGTACATAAGTTCAACAGTTGCCAATGCCACAAAAATATATACAAGGCTACCACCCCTAACTAAAAGGCATGCAGTGTCCCCAATGCATAAGAACATGAAATAGAGTTTTGGGGCTCCCTGAGGCGCACTAAGCGCTATGAGAGTCGGCAGCCGGCTGAGTGATGGTGGGGTCACCCTCTGATACTGAAGCTGGGACCGATGAGATCTTAGTCTGAGGAGTGACCTCCACTGATGGAGGAGGTATCTCTGGCTGATCCAATACTGGAGCTGGAGCCTGTGAGCTGCTAGCCTCGCCCGTTGATGGTTGAGTGGCCGATGGATCTGCAGGGGCGGCCATGTCTGCTAGCGAATGTGCTATTGCTACCTGAATTGCTGCTTGTTCCTCGTCCTCAACTGTCGGAGCAACAATCTGCTTACCCTTCTCCCGAGGGCCTTCATCCTTCTCGGACCAAGAGTCCTCCTTATCCTATCCCTCTTCTGCCTCCTCACTCTCAGACTCTGAAGATTGTCCGGACTCCTCCTCAGAAGGGATCTCAATATGTGCAGTGGGAGCTGAAGGCTGGGAAGGCCCGGCAGTTGGAAGTGCAGTATCCGTCATCAACATGGAGAAGTCAAGGCCCAAACGTGGTGCTACTATGTCTGCTCACCTTCCTTGGGTAGGAAGGATGAGAGATCGAACTCCAAAGTCTGCATCTTGTGGAGCTCGGTCTTCATAGTGACAACTTCCTCCCGGAGCCTAGGCAAGTCACTAACTCACCTCGTTCTATCTTCTCAACCCTCAACTCAATCTGTTGCAGGCGATCCCCGAAAGATGTTTGTTGTTGTTGAAGTGCTGTCACTGAGGACTGAATAGGAGTCAACTCCTGTTTGATGAGGGTGGGCAAGTTCTTCAGAAGCTGGTCTACCTTAGCATTAGCATGCTGAGCTATGAGACCAAGCCTCGAAACGGCTGGCAGTGCAGCAGAAGGCTGAGCAGTGGTGGACTGAGAGGCAGGCTGTGAAGTAGAAGTGGACGAAACTGGAGCCTGAGGGGTCACAGGAGTCTGGTAGTCTGAAGGCTCTACATCAACTGGTCCTTGAGTCTGAACCTCCCGGGGAGCAACAGCATCGCTAATGCGCGTGATATCAATGTCTCTCAGCTCCTTTCCTGTCCTGTCAGAATGTGGCATGGTGGGGACCTTCACAGCCTTACAGAGGGCTATGATCAAGAAGGGGAATGGGAGTGAAGTGGCGTGCTGCGTAGCCCGGATCCCTAGCTCTTGGAAGATAAGATCGCCCACATCAATCTTGATGCCCTCCATAATACATGCAATGAGAAGGGCTTTCTTAATGCCTATATCAGTCTCGTTTCTGGACGGTATAAGGCGTGAGGTGACAAAGCTGAGCCAAAATCGACCCTCTCGTGTGAGATCCTCCTTGTATATTTTGTGGACAGGGTTGATCCAAGCAGGGGTCCCCCTTGCTATCACTGAAGCAATCCAACTGCGCTCATTTTCCCTGTTTTCCCATTTGGCAGCATACTCAGTTGTGCCCGATGTCCAGCCAGGGAAGTATAGCTCTTTAACTTTCTCACTGCTGCAGTCCACACTCTTCCTTCGAACAAGTACAGTGTCACAGAAAATCCTGTTACGTTTGTGGTGCGCATTCCTGGAGGCTCCATACGATGCATAGAACTCACGGACAAGGGTCTCATTATATTCAATAGGTGGTTCAGTGAAGCACTCCCATTTTCTTTGTTTTATGTACTCCCACATGTGGGGGTACTGCTCTTGTAACCCGTTCAAGCTCAATTGCTTCTCAGTCAGGATCTTCCGTTTGGTGAGCCCTTCTATGTATAGTGCCTTGGACCCATCAACCCCAAATCGGAGTTGGAAGTCATCTCCGCTTTTCCTTCTTGCCTCAGCCTGTAGGTCAACTGAGGGCAAGATCTCCTCCTCATCAGATTGGGAGGGATGTGGAACATTAGGGTCCGTTCGTGATCTTTTTGCTTGTGACGCATTACGACTGGAGGATGCCCTTTTCTTGTCGGAGGTTGAGTATTTCTTGGGAGCCATATCTGCACAAAAGTGGACTGTGAGCGACATTGTGGGCAACAGTGAAAAGAAAATAGAAAAATTCAAGAAAAAGTTGAAGATGCGACAGGTTATGCGATCGCATAACCACTATGCGGATCGCAAACCTGTCGTAAACTTGACAGTCCATGCTTAATCTCAGTCTGCGATGGGTTATGCAATCGCATAACCACTATGCGGACCGCATAACCATCGCAGACCTGATTGCTAAAAAAACAAATCACAAAATGCGATCGCAAATCCCACCGTAAAGTGGAAAATACGATCGCAAAACTGCCACAAAAAGCATGAGTTAAAACTGGGTGTTCTGTTTTGATTTGCGGTCACCGCATTTCATCATCTTCCTCATCCAATCTAGGGTTCAACTATGCGGCAGAAATGCGGACCACATTTCGAGTATGCGATCCGCAAACTTCGTCGTCCCCAACGGTTTGGTTCAACCCTCAACAATGGCGGTCCTAATTCTTACTAACCAGCACCCCAAACATATTTCCTACCTAAAATACTATCACAATATGCATAGACAACTACTTACAAAGCACAATAAAAAATAAAGAAAGAAAATAGAAAAGAAATACAGGAGAAACAAAGGAAAAATTTAAAATAAAAACTCGGGGCAGGGAAACATACCAGTGAAGATGAATAAGCACACTAGGGAGAGGAATTATCAAGTGTTGTCGTCCTTGGTTAGATGCCACTGCCGNTGGTTTGTTTCTGATACAATAAAAAAAAGTTTGTTTTGTTTTAAATGTGTGAGAGATGAAAGGATGCGAAGATATACCTGACAATTTTGCGGTGGGTAAGTCACTGCATAACACACTATGCGACCGCATAAGTGTTATGCGGTGGATTCAAGTGACTTGCTGAAGGGCCAAAAATGTGGTGCACTATGCCATCGCATAGTGAAAATGCGGTCCGCAAAGTGCACCAACTCGTCGCATCTTTACCACCAGATTTAGCCAACACGCTGTGTTGTTTTGTGACCAAATTGCGGTCCGCATAGTTAAAATGCGACCGCATATGTGCAGCAAACTGTGGAAAGTGATTTTTCTCCCCCTTTTCATGCAATCTTACCCACTGCACTCTAACACTCTAACACACACTTTAAATTGCTTAATTAAATCTATCTTACAAAAATTAAAAACTTCATACCACACATGGGTTGCCTCCCATGAAGCGCTTGATTTAACATCGTGGCACGACGAAGTTGACGTTCCCTTGGATTCACTCATTGGTCGGGCATGGACCATCTTTGAGAGCCAGCTGCTCCACCAAATGTTTTTCTCCATCTGTGCCCAAGTAATGCTTGCACGCTGGCCATTCACTTTGAAGGTTCGGAGCCCATCCTCCGATTCTAGTTCCACAGCTCCAAAAGGAGAGACATTTACCACTTTGAACGGATCGGACCATTTTGATTTTAGCGTTCTCGGAAACAATTTGAGCCTTGAGTTAAAGAGCAAAACCAAGTCACCCGACTTGAACTCCCTTTTCAAGATCTTTTTGTCATGGACGAACTTCATCCTTTCTTTATACACAGCTGCACTTTCATATGCATGGAAATGGAATTCCTCCATTTCATTGAGTTGTGTTAACCTCAAATTTACAGCTTCAGCCCAATCCAAGTTCAACCTCTTCAGGGCCCACATGGCTTTGTGTTCCAATTCTACGGGTAGATGACAAGCTTTGCCGAAGACTAACCGATAAGGAGAAGTACCAATAGGAGTCTTCTATGCCGTGCGGTACGCCCACAATGCGTCATCTAGCTTCCTTGACCAGTTGGTCCTGTTTGCATTGACAGTCTTTGCTAGAATGCTCTTTATCTCCCGGTTGGAAACTTCAACTTGGCCACTTGATTGGGGATGATAAGGTGTGGCCACCTTATGCTTGACGCCATATTTCTCTAGTAACCCCGTGAAAGCTTTGTTACAGAAATGAGACCCACCATCACTAAGAATGGCTCTAGGAGTTCCAAATCGCGTGAATATGTTTTTCTTTAAGAATGTGGTCACACTTCTTGCCTCGTTGTTTGGTAATGCAATTGCTTCAACCCATTTGGACACATAGTCCACAGCTACCAAGATATATTTCATCCCATAGGAGCTTACAACGGGACCCATAACATCAATTCCCTATACGTCAAAGATTTCTATCTCCATCACAAGTGCATTGGCATTTCATGCTTCTTGGAGATTGATCCTTGCCTTTGGCATTGGTCACAAGCCTTGACCATTTGATTGGCATCATGATAGATCGACGGCCAATAATAACCACATTCAAGCACCTTAGCCGCCGTCCGATTTCCCCCATGATGACCCCCAACCGGCGAGTCATGGCATGCTTTTAGAATTGGCATAATCTCCTCTTCTGGAACACATCTTCGGATGATGTTGTCAGCACAAACACGGAACAAGTATGGCTCTTCCCAATAGTATTGCCGACAATCTCTCAAAAATTTCTTCTTTTGATAGGATTCCAATCCTTCCGGAATAAGGTCACTAACCAAGTAGTTAGCAATATCGGCATACCAAGGAGCAAAAGTGCTAGATAGTGCCAATATTTGTTCATCCGGGAAGGCATCATTGATTTCAAGCTCTCCCTTTGGCCTTCCCGCCTCTTCAAGCCTTGTTAAATGATCCGCTACTTGATTTTGAGTTCCCTTGCGATCCTTGACCTCGAAGTCAAATTCTTGCAACAACAAGACCCATCGAATCAACCTAGGCTTTGCATCCTTCTTTGCCATGAGATATCGAAGAGCAGCATGATCTGTGTACACTATCACCTTAGATCCCAACAAATAAGCCCGAAACTTCTCGAAGGCATAAACAATGGCAAGAAGTTCTTGCTCAGTCACTGTGTAATTCATTTGCACTCCATTGAGTGTCTTGCTTGCATAATAGACCAGGTGGAGAACCTTGTTGTGACATTGGCCAAGCATTGCTCCAATGGCTACACCACTGGCGTCACAAATGAGCTCGAAAGGAAGAGACCAATCGGGTGTGACAATAATGGGTGCCGTGGTGAGCCTTTGTTTCAATTCCTCAAAGGATTTCAGGCATTTTTTGTCAAACACAAATTTGGCATCTTTCTCAAGGAGTTTGCACAATGAATTTGCAATCTTGGAAAAATCCTTGATGAAACGCCTATAGAATCCGGAATGCTCTAAGAAACTTCGAACACCTTTAATGGAAGTAGGTGGAGGAAGCTTGGAAATAATCTCGATCTTAGCCCGGTCAACCTCTATGCCATGTTTTGAAATTTTGTGCCCCAATACAATGCCTTCATCCACCATGAAATGGCATTTCTCCTAATTGAGCACAAGGTTGAATTCCTCACATCTCTTAAGCACTTTTCTAAGATTGTTAAGACAATGCTCAAAAGAGTCACCTACCACCAAGAAGTCATCCACGAAAACCTCTAGGAAATCCTCCACCATGTCGGAGAAAATAGACATCATGCATCTTTGAAAAGTAGCCGGAGTGTTGCACAAACCAAATGGCATCCGGCTAAAGGCAAAAGTTACATAGGG